CATCTCCTAGGCATAGTTCCCCCTTTTCTGCCCTCTGTCTGCAGTTGGGCAAGTTCTTCGTGTTCTGTCTTATGCAGCTTCAGGTGGGTGAAGGGAAGCTGGCGATGAGGTAGAGAAGACTGAGTGCAAAGGGTTCCCAAGCTTGTAGAGGAGTCAAATTTTAAAATAAACAAAAGCTGAAGGCTGGAGGGGAGTTTGGGACAACCTCGATGAAAAGATATAGATAAACAAAATCAAAACTTTTGATGTAATGGTGCCAGGAAGGAGGAGCTACATTCTCTGCTGAGGAATTTAGCTAATAACTCCAAACAGAGCTCTCATGTTCTGCACTCAAGTGACACAGAATAGCTTAAATTCCAAAATAAAATTAAACAATCTTCTTTTCTTACAGAGCCTTCAAATTGCTCTTTTAATATGCTTTTAATAGGTTTGCTTTCTTCTGACATACACTGAATGCAACTAAAGCGCAATTTTCACCAAAAACAGCTCCCCGTTGTATATATGCACAGGTGCCTGAAGGGTACTTTTGGGAAACAGCACCTTGGAGTCTAAACCTGCAGGAAGGGAAGGAGGAAAAAGTTAGATTTACTGCCACCTTATGTCAGAAACTTTGCCTTGTCATAAAGCTTCAAATCAGTTATAGATACAGGAAGGGAAAACTCAAGAGAAGTCCTGAATGGGTAAATGTGCATACCCCTTTGTGAGAGAGGTGAAAAAAGAGACATGAGGAAATTCCCTAGCTTCTCACTGGCAAGAAGTGGACATTGGTAGAATGTAGCAGAACTTCACTAGCAGGTTCAGCAAGGAATAGGAAACTTACAAGTGACCCATCAGAAAGAGTAGGAAACATACAAATGCGGTGCCCCAAATAAGACAAAAATGTATAAGTGAAGCATCAAAAGGAATAGGAAACTTACAATTGAGGCATCAGAGGAGAACCGTCCTCCCAGAGCCATGTGTTGTTGGGTTTCCTCTTAGACAACCCCATCCAGAATGCCGAACTGGAATGGGAAATCACTTTCTGAATGAAGTCCTGTAGAAAGCAATGTTTCTGAGTTGGTGGAATCAATGTGGTGGCTTTAGAATCTGAAATTCAGTTAGCATTCGATTCATAAAACTAAGAAGGATCTTGACAACCCCTTGATGGTTTTATGTAAATGTTTACTGAAGCCTAGGGATACTACAAAGTCATCAGTCCAAAGTCATGCACATAATTTGTGGCCAGGCAAGGTTATAAAACAAGTATTTTGGTTCTCAAAGTAGTCCTTCACTGAGGGTCTAAGCCAGATTTATTTCCCTATCAACCAATACTTAAACTCAACAAATATCAAATAAACACTCACGAGATCAGCTGTGCTATTAATTTTCAGCAACTGGGCATCCAAAGACAAGCAGTTCTTCTGGCTCTTTTCCCAGTTAAATGGGTCAGAGGAAAATAGGTAACAGTTTTCTTCATGCCAGAACCAATCTTGAGGACAAGGAGCTAAGAAGGGTAGTATATGGAATCAGTTAGTAAGGTCTGAGTATAAGTATTTCTGCAATTCTTAAATCAATTCTCCCCTTAGTCCTCTCACATGCATACCATTTCTTCTTAATTAAAATTTTACCCAGTCTCTGTGAATACCTAAATAGCTGCAGAGTCTCTATTTCTCTATTTTTTTTGGAAAAAAAAGAAAGCATACTGATTTTTAGCCCAACTAAAATTTTACTTCTCATTTAGCATTTTCACTTCCCCTGTTAAAAAGCAAGTTAAGCTGGGGATGTAACTTTAGAAACGGATCTATTTTTTTAAAAAGTTATGCTTGGAATGATGGAAGTGAGGGTTGCAAAAATGGATATTTAATACCTACTCTTCTATTTAAAAGTTATACCTGTGTATTTTAAAACTTTGCATATTTGAATAATAGATAGGCTGAAATTCTGTGCCTCCCACTTTTAGACAAGTGTGGTCCAATACAGTAGTCATATGCGATTCTTGAGTACCTGGAATATAATGAATCTGCACTAAGATGTACTGTAAGTATAAAATGCACTCTTGATTTTGAAAAGTTG